ATGTGACTTGCTCTTCCTCGCCTTCCACCCTGATTGTGAGGCCTCCTCAGCTATGTGGAACTGTAAGTCTATAATCTGTCTTTTGTAAATTGCCCAGTCTGGGCTATGTCTTTACCAGTAGCATGAAAACAAACTAATATATTAGGTGACAACTAAAGACCAGGCACCTCTTCATCTCAATCCCGCATCCTCAATGTCTTGGCATATTGTAAGACCCCAGTACTTAGATCCAATATGGGGGAAAAGACAGGAAACCTCATGTTGACCAAGATTAAGTTTCTGCTACTCAGAAGAAGGAATCTTAAATTTTCTAATAGAAAAATAAAATCATATTTCTGAATTAACAATCTGAGATTTGTACATGTGAATTTTTTTAAAGTAATTCCAAGATCCCAGGAACTTGGATCCATTGTTGTCAAAGTTCTGATTCTCCAGATCCTAAGATTTCACTACTTTTCTAGAGATGGCCTAACTCTTCTCATGTGACCCCAAATCCTTGCTTGGTGTGACCTCAGCTCTCCCTCTTCCCTAGTATGTTATTCATCCTATAATACACACCCCATACTTAAAATTCGTATTTTTAACACTTGTAATTTTAATTGCTGTGAGCTCCATGAGGGAAGAAACCATATATGTTTTATTCAACGGGCACGTAACACAATGTCTGATTTGTTATAAGCTGTCAATAAATGACTATACAACTTTTTCCTACAAAAACACAAAAGGGCACAACAATATATCTAGAAGGATGTCCACTGCAGCATTGTTGGCAATAGTAAAAATTAGGTTCAAACTAAGAGTAAATCAATGGGGAGAGAGTAAGTAAATTAGGATAATTAATTAGAGTAACTCTGTGATGTGGAATAATATGCTTGTGCAAAACAATCAGGGAAAGAAAAAATATTTATTTCAAAGTCAAGTTAGATATTTTCCTGAATTATATCTTGCCTAAGATAATCAATTCCATCACCCTCCTCTCCATGTCCCATAGATAACTGAGTTGACCATTATCCTTTGAGAGAGTCAAGTTCAAAACTTGAAATTCCTCATATTGTGGTGAGTGCTTAGAAGGACACTCATGATTTAAGAAGATTACAGGCACTTTTCGATCCGCCATCTGCGCATCAGGTGGGGCCGCCACCAAAATGCAGATTTTCGTGAAAACCCTTACGGGGAAGACCATCACCCTCGAGGTTGAACCCTCGGATACGATAGAAAATGTAAAGGCCAAGATCCAGGATAAGGAAGGAATTCCTCCTGATCAGCAAAGACTGATCTTTGCTGGCAAGCAACTGGAAGATGGACGCACTTTGTCTGACTACAATATTCAGTAGGAGTCTACTCTTCATCTTGTGTTGAGACTTCATGGTGGTGCTAAGAAAAGGAAGAAGAAGTCTTACACCACTCCCAAGAAGAATAAGCACAAGAGAAAGAGGGTCAAGCTGGCTGTTCTGAAATATTATAAGGTGGATGAGAATGGCAAAATTAGTCGCCTTCGTCAAGAGTGCCCTTCTGATGAATGTGGTGCTGGAGTATTTACGGCAAACCACTTTGACAGACATTATTGTGGCAAATGTTGTCTGACTTACTGCTTCAACAAACCAGAAGACAAGTAACTGAGTTAATAAAAGACATGAACCAACAACAACAAAAAAGAAGATTATAGGCATTTATCAGGATACCCATTGGTTATCACCAATGATTATCATCATCATCAGTGACATTTATTGAATGCTCACTATGTGCCAGGTACCATGCAAACACTTGATATATGTTATCTTGTTTTGAATTAACATAATAACCCTCTGAAGCAGGTTTTTTTATACCAACTTTACAGAATGGGTTCAGGGATTGTGGCAAACAGACTGTACCATAACCCTCAATGTTTCTACCTTCTGCTGTTCACATATTTGTGTAATCCCCTCCCCTGAGTGTAGGTGGGACTTGTCACTTGACTCTAAGAGAATATGGCAAATGTGATGAGATGTCACTTTCATTCTTGCCCAGTCAAGCTTTTAGATGGACACGAGCCTGGCCAACACCTTGATTGCAGGCTTGTGAGACCCTGAACAGAGAATCCAGATAAGCACAGAGGGACTGTTGAAGCTGTGAGATAATAAATGTGTATAATTTAAGCCACCAGGTGTGTGGTAACTGGTTATGCAGCAATAGAAAACTAACACAGAGAGGTGAAGTTTCTAGCCCTAGATCCCACAGGAGCCACAGGTCTAGATATCCATCCCAGGTCTGTTAACCTCGAAGCCCATGTTCAACAGGACATCCATGCCCTGCCCTCTTGCTCCCAGATGGTACTTTCAAGATTGTTTTAGGTGAGTCTGTACCCTAAAACATGACTCAGCTGAATTCCCCCCATCAACTCAAATCAAAGGTTCTTCCCTCACCTGTACCACCTAACAAATCTCATTATCTTTTCAAATATATTGGGCTGGCTGATAGAGGAACAATAACACAGGTTCACCTTGGGCACTATTGGAGAAAATTTAGTGACCTGTGGCCCTGGTAGGACCTCCTTGAAGATATGAGCTTTCCACACATGTTCACAGCACCCTACTGCGGGGTTGCATGGGTTGGATGTATGGCTGCTTACTCAGTGAACTAGATGGCAGCCAGAAAATTGTAGCACTTGGATTTAAATGATTTACTGCTCGATGGCACCAGCATAACACCTATCAGTGTGCTACTAACCAGGATAGATGATCGTCTCATTTTAAGCTCCCAGAATTCCCCAAGAATAACAATTTATGATAAATAATTATGGCATTTAGATATGGTGCTATGCACTTCTACTATTCTCTTGTGAAAGCATTTGTAAACTACATGAATCAATTGACTATTACACTAAAGGCAGAATGCATTTAAGAGATGAATGAAAATACTTCTCATACATTATGGAGACATAAAACTATAGTAGTTCACCCATCCAACATTACAACAGTAACCAGAACTTTAAAATTTCTTCTTGTAATAAGCTGTCATAAAAATGTTTTCCTTATTTTAATATATCCTCCTAAATGGTGGACTGAAAAATCAATAAGCCGGGATGCAAAAAGAAAAGGGAAATGAATATGTGTTATATTTTTGTCATTACTCTCATCATAGAGGAAAGCATTTAAGAAGCAAATGTTATTAAAATAATGACATTACATAAGTACCCATTTTATGGCTTGTCTGTTTACACATTCATTTGTTAATTCAACTTACATTGATCATATATATCTATCAAATTCAAAGACTTACTATGTACCTGGGGAATACCAAAAAAAATAAATAAATAAACACATAGTCTCTGCTTCCTGAGGCTTTCAACTATATGCATCTAACAATAACCATTGGCACTAATTCAATCCCAGAGAGCCACTGAGACATACCTATCCATTCTTTCACATACATTTTATCAGTACACATAGGTATAAAAAAAAAAACGTAAACCATTGTTACCTCTGGGTGGTGAGACTACATGTAATTTTTTTTTAAATTACATTTCTTAAACAAATAGAAATTACCATTAAAAATAAAAATAATCGTGTATAGCTATTAAAGATTGTTAGGGCTCAGAACACTATACTCCAAAGTATGGCACTTTGGCATGCTGAGTACTTTGAACCAAAAAAGATTGGAAGGACCTGAGAAGCAAGATGTTCCCTCTGACCTTCTCCACACTCCTTTCTCCTCCCTTTTTTCTCCCAAGCATGTCATGGGTATGAGAATTCCTCTTCCCCAAAGCAGGTTATAGAAACTAGAACTCCTCTCTCCCAAAGCAAGCCATAAAACCTAAAGAGGTCATTCTCTGACCTACCTCCTCTGAAAGCTGGCCATAAACCTCATTCCAGAAGGGCCTTGCCCCATATCCAGTGGGGAAAAAGTCCTGTACAAAGAGGCCAAGAAGAACCCAAACAGGCCTTGCTAGGGTCCCCTGTTTATTACCATTAGAGCATACCCTTTTCATCCAATCACATTTCTACATGGCTGTCCATTCTTCATTGAACCTAACATAAAAATATAATTTTACCTGAGTCTTTGGGCATTCATTTCTGAAGGCTCTCGTGTCACAGGAAACTTTGTTGAGTTTGTTATGCTTTCCTCTTGCTAACCTGTGTTCCCTATAGAGGTGTTGGCTATGGAACTCAAAATGAGTGAGGAAAAGGTATTACACCTTTTTACTCCAAGATCTTTTAAACCATTAGGGCTAACATTAATTAAACAGGTCCACCAAATCCACTAAAACAATGATGCAAATTTTTCTTTGAGCAAAGAACGAACTAAGGGAAAATAAAGAATATTTAGTCCACATTCTTTAAAAAAAAAATTGTCTTCTTAAAATTAAGTATTACTTGCAATAGTGCTTAAGAGCTCCTTCATTATTTTCCCCTCAGGGGATGTTTAATCTTACTTTTTTGTTTTGTTTTCGCTTTGACTCAAATTTCAAAATCTTTATAGCAGTGTGTGTCGTGAAAGATCAGAGTGTAACACAGCACCTTTGAATTTGTTTGCAAGATGAGCCAGGGGAATGCTGGAGGGAGGGGTTTGGGGCATCAGGAGCTGGAGGAAACTTCTGGCAGCAGAATTTAACCACAGAGTACATGCTGCAGCCCCCATTAGATACTAGGGAATAAATGGCAGTATAACGAGAGAAAGTGCACAAATGCAAAATGCTCTGTCAATGACCGTCTCATTCTCGGCTGTCCATGTGTGAAATAGCTAGAAGGGGATGTTCTTGCTGCAATACTCTGGAGAGAGAAATGGAAAGGGGGCCTTTGATCTATCTTCTTAAGTGTGCAGACCTCTGCTGTGTCCCATGCTGGCACAGGTCATGCGTGTCCAGGCTGGACACTTAATCCTGGGTCTGGCCTCTGGGCAAGATGGTTGGGTGGAATTACAGAAGGCTTTTTTCATTGTGGGAATAAATGGGTAAGAAAGATTTTTCATATATGTTGATTTTGATACATTGAATTCTCTATTCTTCAAATTGCATCACTTACCCAGTGGTAAAGCTGGAAGGGCTAAGTTTGTGGTGCACACAGTCCTGCAGCTGCATGCTCCTATAGGGCAGGGTCATTTCTGTCTTATTTGCCGTGGAAGATGTGGCACCTCATACGTGGCCTGGTACAGCACAGGGGCTCAATAGGTAGCTGGAAGATGATGCTACAAGGGAGTGAAGAAATGCATATTTTCTCCCAGTCACTTTGAAAATCTCTCATCTCCTAATAGGTCACGTCCTTTCTTTTGGCCTTTGATAGTCCATTCTCACTCAAGAACCAGAATGATTTGTTTAAAAACAAATCAAATTCTAAAATTAGCTTACAGTGATGGTTGTACAACTCTCTAAATATACTAAAAACCATTGAACTGCATACTTCAAAAGGGTAAATTTTGTGGTATATAAATTCTATCTTGATAAGGCTGTTAAAAAAATTAGATTGTTATTCCATGCTTAACATCCTTCACTGGTTCCTGCCATTTCACGTAGAATTCACTAGACTTATTGTGATGTACAACATCTTACCTTTTCCATAGGATCTGCCTACCTCTCCAACCTCACCTCGCACCAGGCTACATCTTACCTCCAACTCTTCCCTGAATCTGCCTAGGTTGAGCTTGCCTTATCTGTCCACAATAATATTCTTCTCCATACTTTAACTTTTTTTCTTTGCCCCCTTAAGATTTCCACATCCTCTCTCTGTACATTCCAAATGGTGGCTCTCATTCAGATCTCAGCTCAAATTCCATCTTCCCACATTAGGTCATGTAATTGTGAATCACTGTCACAATCATTTTCTCTCATATTATATTTTTATAGCACTTCTACTTGAAATCATCTTGTTTCTTTATTGTTTCCCTCACTCAAATATAAGCTCTGTGAGGGTAGAAAATCTTGTGTTTAACCCTTGAAGAACAGTGCCTCAGACATAGTAGGTATTAATAAATATACATTAAATGTTGACTGCCTGGTTCCCGCATGGTTTGTTCTGCCAAACTTGTGAGAAAAAAACAAAAACAAACAAACAAAAACACAAAATGTTTACACCTTAGCATATCTTCACAAGAAAGAAAGTTTTAAAACTCATTGCTTTTGAATGATTTTTCATTTTTACATGGCAAGGAAAAATTAGCAAGCTTCTATCTGGGAACAACTGATTTCCAAAGTTAGAAGATTAAAATCATGTAAATATTCCACTATACAAGATGTATTATAATGCTGTTAAGGTTTAGTCATGGTCACTTTAAGGGTGGGGGTGGAAGGAGAGGGACTTCTGGGCATCCAGTCCAAAATGTCATTTGCAGACTTAAAAGCAGTTGGATACTTACAAAAAATCTAGGTCATAAGAGGTTTCCTCATTCTCCTTTCCTTGATTATTTAGAACTCTTAGGAAAACCAAGATAATATTTGAAGTCTTCCTTTTAGTACTTCACTTTTGGTAAGTAAAATTTCAGGAGTGATAGAGCTCGATGATAGCCATATGCTCTGAACTACTTTTAACATCTGACATTCACATACGCCTTTGCTGCTTCCAAGTTCTTCCACAGGAACTCTCATTTGAATTTGCCACAGCCTATGGGAAAGGCAAACAGGTGTAGAACATTTTTAAGGAGGAGGAAGCAAAAGTTCAAAGAGTTGAAATGACTTGCCTAAGGTCCTGCTGCCAATAAAGAGGGATTCTAGTCACATGTTTTTCTGACCAACCACTGGCTCTTTCAAAAGCCTTATTTAGGAAGCCACAGCAGTTCTCATCACAGATTATGCAACAAGAAGTGATAGCAATCAGTGTTCCAGAGAATTAAGAACTAGGAATAAAAGTAGGAAGGATTTGTATTCAACTAAATAATTGATTTGCCTCATTTTAATAATGTATTTATTCCTGAAAAGTCATCAGTCTGTCCTTTAGTATAACAAATTGTACACATACACTACTTAATGTAGTGTAGCCATATTGGTTTATGGAAACATCATTAAAGCTTAGCAATCTTGGTTTTTGATATTTTTAAGGTTTTGTTTCTACCTTTTACAAATGATTTTAAAAGCTGTAAGTTCAGCTTTTAAAACTTTTCAGAAGGAAACCAGCATTTTAGTAAATAACAGTTCATATCAGGAAGTATTTAAGTGCTTGCTTATTTCCAAAGTGTTTTTACAAAATTATTAATGTGGGAGGCATGGCATGTAAGATTTTATACTTTACATGGAAGCTCACTGACATTACTAGATAGATAACTAACACCATTGTTAGCCCTACAGGATGCCTGATATTGATTTCAGTTCTTATAATGCACTAATTTCTCAGAAGTCTTTGCTAAGTGTATGAAACTAATTACAAAAGATTCCCTTAAGAGTTAAACAGTAAGCACTCTGAGGAGATGTCTGCAATCCCATGTTCACTATAGCATTATTTGCAAAATAGCCAAGATATAGAAAAAACCAAAGTACTCATCAATGAATGAATGGATTTTTAAAATATGGTATATATATATAGATAACATTCAGCCTTAAAAAAAAAAAAAAAACAGGAAATTCTGTCATTTGTGACATGGATGAAGCTAAAGGACATTATGCTAAATGAAATAAACCATGTAGAGAGGGACACAATATGATCTCACTTATATGTAGAATTTTAAAAAGTCAAACTCACAGAAGCAGAGAGTAAGAGAGTAAAAGTGGTTACCAGAGGCTGGGGAGGGCGGTGGTGGTGGCTGGGGAAAGAGGAGATGTTGGTCAAAGAATACAAAGTTAAATTAGAGGAATACATTCTGATGATCTACTGCCCAGCATAGTGACTACAGTTAATAATAATGCATACTTCAAAACAGCTAAAAAAGAAAATTTTAAATGTTTTCACTACCAAATGATATTTGAGGTGATGAATATGCTAATTAGCTTGATTTAATCATTCCACAATGCATATATGTATCAAAACACCATATTGTACCCCATAAACAAATGTCAATTAAAAATTTTAAATACTCAGATGTCTCACCAAGACTCACATAGCAAAACTAAATCTTTACATAAATATCTATGCATTTTATCTTTACAGAAATTTCTTGGGCTATCCCAGTTCATAAGATTGAATTTTGATGTAAAATACTTCATTGGAGACCATAAAATTCATCCCTTGAGAGAGCTCTGTTCATTACTTGGGATAAGAAAACTCAAGTTTATTACTCACATTTTATTACTATTTTGAGCACCCAACTGTTATTAATAATACTTACAAACCAAGCAATAACCTAAAATGCAACTAATCTGCATTTTTCTGTTGCATATCCTTTCTTCCCAGTCCCTATCCCTGTACAGTTCCTCTTCCTCTCCTCAAGCACCAATTTTACTTTCTATGAATAAAGAATAAGTTTCAGTTGCTTACAACTGTTAACAACATGTTTTTCCATTCCTAACCTTTTAAACTGAAGAGCTGCTACAGGTATTATTGGTCCAGTAACTGATTTCCATAACAAAGGCCTGAAGGGAAACTATAAACTTCCCCCTGAATCAAAGATTTATTTTTTGTAGTTTTTAGGCTAGATGTACTTCATATAATACTGTTTAAACGTTTAACACATATCTAATAAAAATAACTTGCAGTTATCACCAAAATATACATCTGAATTAAGTGGCCAATTGGCTCAGTTGTGTGTGCCACACAACTAGATACAAAGGGATGGAGCTGTTCAACAAGCCATGAGATGCAGAAGACAAATGAAAACTTGCACATTCTGTGAAGGTTTTTTTTTTTTTTTTTTTTGAGACGGAGTTTCACTCTTGTTACCCAGGCTGGAGTGCAATGGCGCAATCTCGGCTCACCGCAACCTCCGCCTCCTGGGTTCAGGCAATTCTCCTGCCTCAGCCTCCTGAGTAGCTGGGATTACAGGCATGCGCCACCATGCCCAGCTAATTTTTTGTATTTTTAGTAGAGACAGGGGTTTCACCATGTTGACCAGGATGGTCTCGATCTCTTGACCTCATGATTCACCTGCCTCAGCCTCCCAAAGTGCTAGGATTACAGGCATGAGCCACCGCACCCAGCTGAAGGTTTTAATCACATATAGCACATGCTATCTCAATAAGCTCAATGACAATGTTCTCCAGAGTGGCTTAATTAAGCACAGCCGCTAAGCTTTGGTTTGGGCACCACCTAATGGCAGAAAATGTTTTTGTAAAATTCTACCTTGCTTCCTGTGACTTGCTTTTATATTTTAGTTTATGCTGATTGAGAAAATGTCTGCTCTTTCTTGACCTATGTTAATAGTTTAAGTGTTCTGTTTTATTGAGAAAATTAGGCCCTTTCCATGCCTACTTTGGAATAATAAGTTGTCTTTTACAGTGGGAAAACGTACCAATAAAATGAATATTCTAAAATTTCTTTTCTATCCATATTTAAAATTTCATAATTAATACATTTTAATTCAATCACTTTACTTACAGTCCTCAAACTCTTCTGCACTGTATATCCTTATAATAACCTGTCACAAATAGTATATATTTCTGGAAAAAAAAAATGGTACTTATTAGGATTAAGTAATTTAACGTATCTAATTAGCTGCTACTACTCCTGAATGTACAAATAGTGATATACACACCTTTAACATCACCATACACATTTAAGTTTTTGCAAGAGGTCCTTGCCTGAACACAATGTTCATTCGTCTTTTCAACAAAGAGTAATATCTGCAGTAATATAGAACAGATAACCAATGTTTTAAGAAAAGATATTTATTATTTACACCACTGAAATTAGTCCTGTAAGAACAATACACACCATGTTTCTTTAAAAGGATCAATTCCTTTCAAATACAAGAACTGTATAAAGCAATATTGTCAACACAAAACAGTGGTCACATTACGTTATCTGCAGGCTTAAGCATTGCAAATAATATATTTTTTTAATCTTATGGCTAGGTATTTTTACTGAAACAGTGTTAGCACTTAGACAAGATATAGCTGGAACAGAACAAAAACTTTTTGTTCATGCTTTTTAGGGATCAATCAGTGATATGTCCCTTTTAAAAATTTATTGCCTTTAACTGCTTTTACGACAATGGTTTTAGGCAGATTCTACTTAGCCACTGAAAAGAGATTCATTCTTGTTCCTTAGTTTTTATTCTTCAGTCTTCAGTTTCTCATACTAGGACACAGCAGTATCAAAGATTGATACTTTCCAGCTTTACTTGAACATGTATACACATACAGGCCTAACTGAGACCATTTAGAATTTAGAAATTTAACTAGTGGCATACAGAAGAGCAATTGTGTCTATGATAAAGGAATAAAAAATTCTTGGTAATTTTAAGCATAACAAACTAGGTTCTTTATTTAAAAACTTTTTTTTTCTTTTTGGTTTTAAAGGGAAAAGCACTAGTTTCAACATGGGTTTGGTCTTTGATTTTAGTCAGACAGTAACATAATGAGACAAAAATACAAAACATAACTTGTTTCCAAAGTCACAAAATGACATTGTTGAGTATACATTTTCTCCACTTTGTGTGTGTGTTGAGGGGACAAGGAAGGAATCAGTAACCAACCCTGGAGAAAATATTTTTCAAGAGTAACAGAATATTCATATAGGGAACAAAAGCATTTTTTTTTAGCATATTGCTATAATCTCAAAAAAATATAAAATTAAATTTACAAAAAACTGGAAGACCAAGTATATGCAATACGGTATTTGCTTCAGTGTCCAGCACTTTCATAATGATTTCTAGCATAAAAGCAAGAAGTTCCTGGATCTTAAGTATCTTCAATAATTGCCAGTATAACTTAAAACTACTGTCCTTGCTTCTTTGAGAGATATCTGCAAGAAATAAAATAAAGATGTCAAAGCTGTATCATGATAAATTCATGAAGTTAACCTAACTTCCCTCCCAAAGAAGATTATTCTAATGACAAAACATTTCAAGATAAGTACTGTTAATAATCACTTACATCTACTGATTATGTGCATACACAGTTCTAAGTACATGTATTAATTCATTTAGTCCTCACAAGAGCTCTGAGGAGTTTCCATTAGTATTATTCCTATTTTACAGGCACAAAGAGGTTAAGCAATTTGCCCAAATTCACACAGCTAGAAAATGGAAGAGCCTAGATTCAAAATGAAGCTCCAGAGGTTGTACTCATTAGCTACCATTCCATACTGCCTTACTTCCAATGTGAAAGTAACTGTATTAACTAGTATCCTAGCTTCCAAATATAGCTGAAACTCCATAAAGATCTTCTTTTTCTTACATCAAGATAGCGGGCAAAAGATGCTAAAGGTCTTTGATCAAGAGTGTAAAGGATATAAGACATTAATTTACTAAGCAAACAAATATTTTTCATATTAGTAGACATCTACCACTAAATTAAAAACAATCTCAATTTCTCACATTTACAAAGTACTAAAATTGGTGGTGTGGGGTTGGGGAAAGAGTTCTTAAAACTGGCAAACGTGGACACGTTTTGATGGTACAATTTGCTTACTTCATGACACTGCACTAAGCATTTGCTATCTCCGTGACTCAGTTACATCATCTGCAATTTAAAGATGGGGATAAAAATGTCTGCTTTATCTTCCTATTAGGATTATAGACTCTTAGAAGACTTGTGTCAAAGTGGTCTGAAAAGTCAAAAGTGGAATCTGAAAAGCCAAAGTGTTATTATTACACTGTTTCTTTTATATATATATATATATATACATATATATATATACACACATACACATACACACACACACACATATAAAATATACTTTGTTTTTTTATTTATTTTTTATTTTTTTATTGCATTTTAGGTTTGGGGGTACATGTGAAGAACATGTAAGATTGTTGCATAGGTACACACATGGTAGTGTGGTTTGCTGCCTTCCTCCCCATCACCTATATGTGGCCTTTCTCCCCATGTTATCCCTCCCCAACTACACAGTCTCTTTTGATGATGTATTACTGGAACCAGGTCCTTAAAGACCTAATTCCGCCCAAAATGCTTGTAATACATAGTAATACCTTCCACTTCTCCAGGGGCTTTTCCCTGTCTCAAAACCTTGATGTTTATATGCAATGTCTATATAGATTTGTGGATATGTTTGAGCTTAGAAAAAAGACTGAAAGATGGCCGGGAGCGGTGGCTCAAGCCTGTAATCCCTGCACTTTGGGAGGCCGAGGCCGGTGGATCACGAGGTCAAGAGATCAAGACCATCCTGGTCAACATGGTGAAACCCCGTCTATACTAAAAATACAAAAAATTAGCTGGGCATGGTGGCGCGTGCCTGTAATCCCAGCTACTCAGGAGGCTGGGGCAGGAGAATTGCCTGAACCCAGGAGGCGGAGGTTACGGTGAGCCGAGATCGCGCCATTGCACTCCAGCCTGGGTAACCAGAGCGAAACTCCGTCTCAAAAAAAAAAAAAAAAAAAAAAAAGACTGAAAGACTAATATACCAAGATGGTAATAGTGGTTGTCTTTAAAAAGGAAAATTATGAGTAATTGTTTTTTTCAGTGGGATAAGGTTTT